TATAAGATTAATATATAATAATTTTTAACACAATACTAGAGATAGGGCCCTGCTGGCCGCCAAACACCTTGTAGTCCTCTCCGTTGAAGTAAATGGGGACATTGCCTTCTAAGAGCTGACCATCAACCAAGTTGAACACATTTGCATTGTTACAAATCTCAGAAGGGGAGCCGATGAACCCTCCAAGAGCTCGTTTCCGCAGTCGGTTATTGTCCGGGGTATCAGGAACAACACGGAAAACTATTTGCTCGTCAAGGATGCTGGGACCTGTAGTGGAAGAAGGAGGAGCTGTTTCGACCTCTGTGGTTACTAACGAGGAGGTAGCACCTGGTGCGAATGAGAGGGAGGATGAGGGATTCAAAGTGACGGAGATATCCAGGCTCGCAGAAGGCTCGCTACCAGGGAATGAACTCTCTGCAGGTGAGTTTGTGGCAGCTGAGATGGGGACGAGGTAAGTTGACAGGTAGGTCACACACCAAGATTCGGGCATCTGCTCCAAATCGTGAAAGGCAACAACTGGAAGGGCCAGACTGCCCAGGAGGGAGATAATCCTTGAGTTGACCATGATGCTCTACGACAAACTCTTGGTTGGAGAATTAGAATTACAGCAGATACGAATATTTAAGACGCCAATAGCGATCGATGTATAAGAGCAGCATTCTTGGCATGTGTCACCATAATAAAAAAGTAAGACCCTTAATAGACCTGCGAGCGCAAGTAAACACCAAAGAGGGGTCATGAAGACTTTTGCGCGTTCTAGACCTGTTCACGACAAGGCTTGGAATGGTCTCGATAGGGATAGTACACAGACCGAAATGAAGTGGTTGCAATGGTAAGGCCTGTGAAGAATCTTCAGTAGGTCACTGATGTTTCATCACGCCCGACTACCACATTGTTCCAGGCTCCCTTGAATTCGTTTGAGAAGAGTTATTTGGAAAAGATCAAAATAACTGGGCTAGCTCGATTAGGTTGAATAAGACAGCAGCCAGCGACGGGCTGATGTAAGGGGTAAAGCAAGGGGTAATTGTGGTCTCAGTCTTGAGCGCCACGACAATCTCAAATGAACTTCGAGTCTTGTCATTGGCTTTAAGCCTACAGTCTCTCAAGCCAAGATGTCATCCGAAATGCAGCCACCAATTTCAATGTCTTGCGACATTTTCAGGTTCGATGCACAACGAGGTCGGGAAAATACCGCACCCCAGGCAATACATCAAAAGCAGGGACAGCTTCAGCAATGAGTCTAGATCCACGGATGCGCCTTCAGCTCATTAACAAGCATTCCAACAGGCACGAAGTTTTTATGGCGGCGGCTGCAGTACCATAGACCAGACCTTGGCCGTGACATGGGCATGGGGACTTGCAAGCTTGCTTATGAAGTTTCATCGCCAGCCATTGTCGAATATGCTATTGAGAACAAACTGGATAAAATACTCTTGCAGTTCAAGTTAATTAATGATGGGCTTAATAGCTATAAAGGGAAAGATGAAGCGACAGGCGCTCGTCGCAGAGGTTATCAGCGTAGCTTATGGCCGTATCGCGATAAGGCTCCTCCAAGGTGTACGGTGAAACATTTCCTAATCGGGTATGAAGATAGGGCAATTCTCGTATCAATCGTTATTCTCCAACTAACGTCAAGTCGTTAGAAAGCGGGGTTTTTATGATCCGCGTCCTCCCTTTTCAAACATCACGTCGAGATGAGCTTGATAAGGTAATGCTCAATTGAACTAATGGCTTTTCAACGGTCAACGATATCATAAGCTGAAATTTGAGGCTCTTGTTGAAAATCAAGGCTGAAATGCGTAATATTCGCCTCGATTCTTTGTCGTCGGATCGCGAGGTTGCTTCTCAGAGTGAGTGAGGTCGATGTCTGCCCAGAACTATTTACTCATTCTCCAGATTGCAAAACATGTGTGAGAAGGCGAATAAAATGCGACCGGAGCCTCCCTTCATGCTTGAAGTGTTGTAGTCGAGGACTTGATTGTCCAGGCTATGGTCTTCGCTTGAGATGGGATCAGGGAGTGGCTAGCAGAGGGATGCTGACAGGGAAATCAGTCCCATTGCGACCTCCGGTCAAGCATGGTATACTGCGTACACACAAACAAACAAGAACACTTCGGATCAGGAAGCCCACCGATGATGAAACTTCTCCCTATTGCCAGCCTCAAATAGCTACCGAAAGCTCTTCAATGGTATTATCGAACCCAAAGCAGAACGTCGAGCTTGTCGATCGTCACGTCCGGCAAGCGGCTCATGCAGTCCTCTTTCAACATTTCAACAACCAAGTCGCATCAAAGCTTGCGTGGCTGGATGGACCCAAGAACCCATGGCGAACCCTCGTACTTCCTCTCGCGCAACGCTCATCCTGCTTGCGGCTATCAACACTGGGTTTGGCAGCAGCACATATGTCCGTCGTATCTCCCCGGGATAAGCCAGCACTTGTCCAGATTTACCGAAACCTTCGAGATGCGACGCTGTATCATCTGAACCGGCAGATGGAATCCGAGCTGAAGCTTGAAGTATCGCGGAGTGATAAGAATACGCAGGTCTCGGTTCTCGTCGAAATCATCCTCACCATGATTTCTCTATGCTATGCAGAAATGTTCATACCCAACTCGACGGGATGGAGACTCCACCTCAGCGGTGTCCGCACAGGATTCGAGAGATATGACCTCGCAAATCCACACGAAAAGGTGATTTCTCAGTTTTTGGTGGGAGAACTTGACTATCTGGAGGCTTTTGGAAGTATATCCTCATTTACCTCGAGTTTGAGACGCCAAAAGCCCATCTCACAGCACGCGACTTCTAATGAGTACTTCAAAGAATTTACAGAAGCACTTTATGAGATCACGGTTACCGAGAGAAGCCGAAACCACGCTTCTAGGACAGGAGAGATTCTTGTTGACACTGACATGACTGTGTGGCAAGACAAGCTCACCAAGTCTTATGACTTCGTTTGCGCCCGCATTGAATCCACCACGTCACAAGACGTCACTCTCCAGATAAGCCTCAAATCAGTTCTCAAAGCCCAATACTACGCTTGCCTTGTGTACAGCTACCAAGCACTTGCTTCCGATGTCGAGAAGACAGTTGCGATCCCTCCGCTGGTTGACTGTCTCTACAACGAGATCATCTTCATGACATCCTGTCCAATTGAATCTGTTGCGCACAATATCTCATTTCCGCTGTTCATACTCGGAACAGCCAGTCAGTTATACACCAACAAACAAGTTATGATCGAAAGGCTTTTTACCGACAACATAGCTACGACGGGTTTCTCGTGCAACTCGGCAGTACTACAGTTCTTGAGAGACTTCTGGAACGCGACGACAGCTGGGTCGACTCAGAACTGGATACAGTATGCGAGAGACAACGAGGAGCGGATAAGCCCATTTATTGTGTTCTGATCACAGGAGGATGGGTTTACATGAGCACTGTCTCTTCGTCCTCCACTCCAAACAGTACCTTCATTGGGTCTTGGTAGTTCATGAATCCCAGCGACGGCTTACAAACGCCATAGCCAAGCAATCTTTGCGCTTGCGGTGTGAGCTGCCTCGCTCGCTCCAATGGTACCATGAGGAACTGGTTCTCCGCAGGACGAAGAGTCGGCTTGCAAAGGAAGATGCCTACTGTCTCGCGATACTCGTTCCTGGGCACTCAATCAGCATGAACTTAGCTAGTGACGGGGTTGGGCTTGTACTTACTGGGTAATATTCTGGCCACCGGCATGGTACAGGTTACCCAGGAAGATGAAGGCATCACCTGGCTCTAGTTCTGCGGGTACAGCTTCTTCGTCGTATGGCCGTCGTTCACTATCCCAGAGATGAGATCCCGGGATGCCGATCGTGGCCCCGTTCTCCCGGGTGGTTTTGGTTAGAGCCGTGACACAGCCAATCATGACTGGGAGCTCTTTGTCGTGGGGATGATAGTCACTGCCTCCAATCAACAAATGGTTCCAGACCAATACAGATTATTCTATGGCTAATTCCAGACCGTGGCAAAAGGGTATACTCACTCATCATCTCGATGCAGGACCTGTTGTTTGCCACCTGGATTAACCCGAAACGCCACAGTCGACGAAATAATAGGCTTTCCGCTCACAGTGATCCTCTTCTCCCGCTCCCAATACGTCAGCGACGAAGAACACAGCTCGTTCGCGACATCGATATAGAGAGGGTTACAGGCAAGCTCAACACAGGCATCGGAGACATTAAACAGACCAGTTGCTCTTTGGGTAGTGACGGGGAAGAATCCAGACAGGTCTGGAGTATCAGAGTCGAAATGCGGTTTGAGATCTGCTCTGATCTGCTCTGCTAGCTGGCGAGATATAAGGTTCTCGACAATCACGCCGCCGTCGCGTTTTATGGCTGCGACAAGGTTCTGTGGCGTTGTGGATGGTTCCGCTGCGTCGAGACGCGCAAAGGATGGTTTAGTGGTAGCAGTGCTCAGAGAAGCCATTTTGAAACGGTAGTAGATCGATAGTTGTTATTGAAACTCCTGTGAAGTCTTTCTCATTATTTATAAACCTTATCTTGACTTCCTTCATCGTGATATGACTCTTGCGTTACAATGAAGCTGCATTCAATGGTTCTTACTAGCACATCACTAATCCCAGATAGGTTGGTCGGCAGAGAAAAGTCCAAGCCATTTATTTTCACGTCGATCCAAGGCCTGGCTTGCCTGGGAACTCACATGAGCACGCTAACCCGGGCTAGGCTGGTCGGGAGAGAAACGGCAGCGCGGTGTATTCCGGGGAAGGCTTAACTTGGCTGCCCGGGAGAAAAACGAGGCGCTTGCGTGGAATGATGGCAGCTGTAAACGATAGCAGCCTAGTTCATCATTGGTTCAAGCTGTCCTGATGTTATCTTTCCCCGCATTCTCGACCAGGATCTAGATTGCAGTATCTGGTCATGTTGCTTTGTTTATTCGCATTGGGAAATTGGTTATAGATCTTCCCGATCTCAGTCCCTCCGTCGCAAACTCTCCCTTTAAACCATTGTTCCCAAATTGGTTCCTATTTTGCATCTTGGCATTGTTCTCCAACTCGCCAGTCCATGATCGCGCCACATTCTCAACAACGATATCATCTACTTCCAAACTCCACTGGGTATGGATCCCCCTAAGGAAGACATTCAGATCGAGCCAATCTCTTACGATGGATCCGTTCTCCAAGGCAGCCAGTCTCAGTATGATACCGACGATGCGTATCTCAAGTCCCTCGGAAAGTCGGCCGAGCTGCATCGCGTCTACAACTTCTGGACATGTGGGTTTTCATCAGCAGTTCTTTGGTCTTCAATACTGACAGCCGTACAGTATGCGCTTACCAGGTCATGATCAGTGCGACATGGACGTGCGTCGTTGTTTTCTACAGTGTCATCTTTGACGTCGGTGGACCAGCCTCTCTTCTTTACGGATCCATCATCGTCGCCGTTGGTCAGACTTTGCTCATGGCCTCGCTCGCTGAATATTGTGGTATCTGGCCGACTGCAGGTGGTCAGCAGTTCTACGTCCAGAAGCTGGCAACCCAAAAGTACCGACCATTTCTTTCATACTTTGTCGGCTGGTGTCTGCTTCTAGCTGAGACTGCTACTGGCTCTTCTTGTGCTTTGAATACTGCCAACATCATCGGTACAATGGTGTCGATCTTTCATCCAAATATCGAGTGGAAGGTATTGAGACTCCCCCCGTGCTTTGATGCCATGCGCTAACGCTCTAAGCCATACCAAACCTTTTTGATATATCTCGGATTACTGGTCATCCCGTTTCTAATGAACTTAAAGCCCAGTGCACTCCCTCTCTACAGCACCGTCGGCGCCGTTTTCACAATCCTGGGCTTCTTTGGCTGGGCTATCACTCTCCTCGCCACAGCCCCTAAAGCCAGCGCTGCTTTCGTATTTACTAAGTTTATCAACAATTCAGGGTACACCAGTAATGGATGGGTGTTCATACTTAGCTTCTATACTCCGCTCTATGGTCTTTATGGTACGGATAGTATGATGCATTTGGTTGAGGAGATGAAGAACGCATCTCAAGATGCACCAGTAAGTCTCTTTTCTTAACAAAAGCTCAAAGGTACTGACACGATACAGAGAGCCATGGTCTGGTCTATGGTCCTTTCTGGCGTTGCTACCATCGTAACTGATCTCATCCTACTGTTCTGCTGCGGTAACTATACCGAGTATGTAACAGCACTGTAAGTCCCCCTCGCCGGTCTTATCATCGCTCAAGCTTATGAGTCAGGTCACCGTATGTCACCTGGTTCTCGGACGTAGCGGGAAGTGAGTACGCCGGTATATATGTTGCTATAGTCTTTGGCGTTGTGAACGTAAGTCAGCAGACCTCGTTTTCTTATCGCGACAGCTAACTCTCTAATTTCCAGCTGCTCGTCTGCACTGGTATTCTCTCTTCGTGTTCTCGCCTAGGTTGGCGCATGGCGGAGGACAGGGCATTTCCATGGTCCCATCGTCTCCAGAAGATCGATCCCAAGCTTCAGATCCCATTAAACTTCATCTTCGCCATCATGGTGGTTGAGGTTATAATTGGGCTTATCTCTCTGGGGAGTGAATTGGCCTATAACGCTATCGTCAGTGGTGCTGGTGTTTGTTTCGCCCTCGCCTATGCGATACCAGTTACGGTGGTGAGTACTGTTCATTGGCATCATTATTTGGCTGCTGACGCTTTCAACAGGCTCTTGTTCGAGGCCGTTCAATTCTTCCGCCTCGCCCTCACTTTGATCTTGGCCGATGGGGATACTTTGTGAACTATGTTGCTGTTGCATGGGCCATGTTGACCATTGTGATATACGTGTAAGTGCTACTTCAACTGGTATTCCCTGGCTAACACTCTACCAGCATGCCTCTCTATCTACCAGTCACGGGCGAAAACATCGGAAACATGAACTGGGCCGCACTCATTGTTGGGGCAACGTTCCTGTTTTCTGGTGTTTGGTGGATATTCGGAGCAAGATTCAGATACCTGAAGGAAGCCCCCCTCGAGGCGGAACCAAGCCCTGTAGCGGGCGAGCAGTCGAGTAATTCTTGACATCCGTTTGATACAGGAGTTTGACGTACGGGTGTCATATTTACTTGGCTCCATGTGTACACAAACAGACCTTGTTTCATCAAGTGGCGAACAATGACTGGATGATGTAGGAGCACCTTGTTAGAACATTAAATATTATACATTATACATTACACAATCTTAAACGCTACCACATAGCAACTCAGCCTTTACTACATGTTCTTGCCCCATGCCTAAGAAAGGGACAGCAACTAGCAATCGAACAACCATGACTGCCGCACAGACAAAAAAGTCTAATCCAGATATCTTTTTGAAACATCCACTCACGAAATGTCTCAGTGTTTTCACCACTGCTCCGGACTTTGAATCCGTCACTCAGCGCGGTGAAGTGATTTGAAGCGAAGTCGTCTGCAGCCAAGTTCATCTTGCACAATCATGACTCGTTTACACGAAAGTCCATGAGATATACAAGCCTCGTCAGGAGATTCCAGCTCAATCAGAAGGCGAATGGGCTGTGAAATGACGTCGCCCAAACAGTGCCATACACCAGTTTTTGCATCGTCGAGAAAGCAAAAGAGACGTCGCCGAGAGTCATTAGCTCCAAGCCCTATAACGAGCCAAGCGATTGTATCAACATCAAAGTTTTCGTCTTCTACACAATGCAGACGGGCACTCATGTTGACGAATCGTTCGAGCGAAACAGAAAGTGCGCTGCGTGGCTCGGTCGAGGTTTGGGGGCTGGAATTTCTGCCTGGTCGCTCATTAGGGACAGATACCTGGCCATCGTGCTCATCATAGCCCTCTTTGGGTTGAGAAAGACTCGAGTCTTGGGAAGAGGTTGACGATTCCTGGTCCCCCTGGTAAGGACTGCGGTTCTCTCCATTCGCTGGCGTTGATGAACGAGGCTTCTCTGCTGGAAGGCTCTGCGGAAGTTTAGCAGCATTTCTCAGGATGCTTGGAGGTGAGGGGTAGCGGCTGAGCTCGTGTTTATTCTGTTGATCGGGCGCCTTGTCGTCGCTAGGAGGTGCTGGCAATGAGCCATGCTCTCGAGGAATGCTAGTCGCACGCGGAATTCCAGGAGCGCCTTTCTTATGCTCAAATACAGACTTGAAAACAGACAGGCGATTCCCGAGAATATCTTCGATGGTGAATAGGGACGAAGTTTGTCGAAACCTTGTGTTTTTTTCCCATTCTTTAGGTCCCAAAGGGCCCAGTCGTTGGAGTATATCCGTCTGGAGTTGTCTCATGCTAGGCCATTGACCTGAAAGGTACCCATGTGGTGCCCCCCCGACATATCCCCATGGGAAGATAGGAATGGGATTAACGCCCTCGACTAACAGCTGTGTCAGCACTCAAATAACACACATTGTAACTGAAAACCCACGGTAGATGAGCCAGACCCAAAGGAGTACCACATAGTCGAAGAAGGGCCCACTCGGATGCAACTTGAAGTCTTTCACAAACTAGGTGTTTACTTCCTTTTTGCACTCCTTTGTGAGGGTTTCGAGGTGGCCTGGCCTTCCTTCTTTGCGTAGCCATCGTAGAAACTCAAACATATATTTTCGCTTGGTGCTCGTGGTGGCGTGTTCATTTACCCCACCTCCTGAGAAACGGCCAGAGATATGCGGCTGCTCTGACTCGCAAAGCGTATGCAGGAGTTGAAAGACTGTCGTGGTCATACTGGGTCGCTGAGATGTGTGAGCACGATCATCGAATGAGGCTGACAGTTCCGTATTGTTTGGACGACGCGATCTGATTTGTTTCGAGATGAGGTGAAAGATGGTCTGTGGTGATGTGCTGCGTAGCCTAAGGTACACAGAGGAAACGAAGAAGAGTAAACAAGTAAATGTCGGTCAGAGACGGCATTAAATCGTATCATGTGTGAGGGATTCTCTGTCGTAGTTTGTATGCCAGTCGTCAGCTGCTGGGCACTGCCGAGGAAGATATTTCGATGAAGCTGCAAATGGGGCAGTATCACGTGGAACCACTGCATCCCTCTTCGTGTCGCCAAAAGGTGACCGACCACGCGGCTACAAAAAGCTTTTATCGTCATTTAAACGCAAGTGAAAGCCATCTCGTGACGTGTGCTGCTTGTGAGTACCCGCGTAAGCAGTTGGTTCATCAGGCGGTAAACAACCTCCTCGTATCTACATAATGCTAGAGTAGTGAAGGCAGCGGGACTGAATTCTGTGTATATTTTCTGAAACGAAGCCTTGAAGACCTTAAAGTGACATGTGACAGAAAGTGTTTGACGAAGATACCTTGCTTGGACTGCCCTGCATCCCTACTCGTCCCAAATAGTGGCTACCACATCCCCTGTAAGCTTCACCTGGGCCAGCTTTCCGCCCTCCTGCTCCGTAATGATCTTGCCACTCTTGACATCGCGCTTCCAAATGACGACGGTCTGGTTGACCTGATGACCAACCGCAATCTTGTCGCCAGCCTTGTTGAATGAGAACTGGCGGGGAAGATATCCGCCAGATGGGACAGCCTGGATAGGCTTCAGAGTGCCGTCCTCGTTGATTTGGAAAACTGTGAGGGTATCGGAGGGACCAGATCCACGCTCGGGAGAGTTGGCGAAAGACTTCTCGCGGTTTGTGACGATCACGAAACGCCGGTCGGGCTGAGTACAAGTCAGTATGGCTCTGAAGAAGAATATTCGTTTCCTTACGCTCATAGAAATTTCGCTGACGGGAGCCGTGTTGGGAGGAAAGCTAGCGTTCAGCGATGGAATCTCAAAGACCTTTGTGAAGGAGAGACCAGTGCGAGTATACTTGACGCTGTAAGAGTACACCTTCTGGTCAAGTTCGCCGCCGAAGAAGAAGAAAGTCTCGCCATTGGCCATGATTCTGAAGAATCCATGGCGGGGTCCCGAACCACGAGGAGCGCTCAAGCTGCCCACCTCAGCAATGGGAGCAAGAGTGTTCTTGTCATAAGTAAAGACGCGGACGACATCGCCACCAAGATCAGGAGTCACGACATATTTTCCAGTCGGGTCAATGATGACGTGGTGAAGATGGCTTGCTTCCTGGCGGTCTGCAATGGGGCCAGTCTGGCTAATTTTTGTGGTCAACTCTTGAAGCGGCGCGGTGCCGGTAATGGAGCCATTGCCACCGAGAGCGTACATAGATGCTACACCTGGAGTGCTATGATATGTGAGTAAATCCATTCCCAGACAATTGTCGGCAACTTACTATGAAGCACTGAAATACCCGCGCTTGCCATTTGCTCCGGTAATGATCTCTCCTGCAACAGCGCCTCCTACGACAGACTTGACGCGAGAAACGCGCTTCAAAACACCCTTGTTTCCGATCGTGAACGAGTTCAATGACCCAGGCGGTTGGAAGTTGAGGCCGCGATCCAGACAATAAAGCACATTGTTAGGTTTGTCAAGAGTGAGCCAATTAGGTCCAGGAGAGCAATCGGTCGTTTTCGAGGTGACAGAGAGGTCGAAGCCGTTGGCGGATTCTGTCAGGCTCAGAGTACTCAGATTGCCGCCGTAGTCCGCTACGAAAAGGTTGACGGCTTGGCTAGGCACTGCCAAAACGGAAGAGCCCAGAAGCACACTGAGTAATTTACCATGCATTTTGATGTACAGGACACGAAGTGAAGAGGGCGAGGAACAAAGTTCATCACCCTCGAGCAAGGCACGGCATAAAGTTATATTATCCTCGGAGGATCGTGCTCCGAGTGCTACAGAAGTCAAAGATCCACGTACATCCAGGGTATAACTGAGTTCGGTTTTCGGGCAGACTCCCCGCGATGGAGATGGAGAGATGTATATCCTCCAATGGTGAGGTCACCGCTTGGCATCTTGACACGTTTGTCTTTAATTAACCTCAATTATGCCATGGCCCTTGTATTTAACCTTTACGAAACGTGAAACGATGCTAGCAGTTAAAATGGTAGGTTTTCCGCGGTGATCCCTTTTCCGTTCCCCGCTTTTCCGTGAAGACTTTAGGCTAAGCAGGCTTCTAGAAAGTCAATTCAGCACAGTGAACTGATCCTCGTGCGGGTGTCGAAGAGTGCCGCAATTGAACGCGGTCCTTGAAGCAGGCTCAATAAAGATAGCACAAAAAAGCAAAAGAATGATCACGCTGCTGGGGATCGAACCCAGAATCTTTCTTCTGATTCGTAGTCAGACGCCTTGCCATTGGGCCACGCGACCTGGTCTTTGCTGACTAATACTCAAGCAGCTCAGAAAACACGTCGAGAAACCAAATTTCAGATCGCGTTGTCAGATCATGATCCAAAACGACATATATCTTTGACTGGAGAGTCCGTACGAAGCTGCGCTTATCAGGATACTACCACGGTATTTTAATAAAACCAAATCTGTCTAAACTACTACACATAACTTCAATCACTTGTTATGCTGGTTGGTGACTGATTGATGGTATGTCGTGGCTTGTCTTTCACTGTTAATGCCTCTGCTAATGAGAAAGCTCAACAATCAAGTTCTTGGCACGATGTTGCACTTCAACTCGATGCGCAATTAAATAGACGAATTTTTCCACCAGCATGATAGGATATTTCCACGAGATCCGCCATTTCTTTCACCTCTAGAATTGACAGCTTTGTTCCTCACGTCGCGGTGCTGCAGCTACCCTACAACTCACATTGGCACGAGTTTCGTGACCAACGAGGACGTAGCAAACTCCGCTGACAGATCGAGCCAATGACGTATCCGATCCGACCCTGAGACTAAGGTAACTGCCGATAGTTGTGTCCGGCTGCCGGAAATCCTCAACTTCCGGGATGTGGAGCATCATCCGACGCGTCAAAGCCCGGATCCCGATCTTTCGGATCACACCGTCCCCACAACGACGACGTATTGAAACGCGGGGTTTAGAAATGATAAATTGCTTGAGGTGGAACTGATTTGGAGGCTAGAACTCATTATAATATTATTTGTCATTTGGTCGTTCATCATGGCGGCTCCTGTTAATCTCAAAGATCTCACTATTGACAACATTACCGAGAATGTTCACGCCATCAACTCTCAGTGCAGTAATTTGCGCCTGAAGTATATCCTGGAGCGAGTTGTCACACATTTGCATGACCTGGCGAGAGAAACGAGACTCACTACAGACGAATGGATGACTGCTATCCAATTCCTGACACAAGTTGGTCAGATCTGCACCGATGTCCGACAGGAATTTATTTTACTGTCGGATATCCTGGGCCTTTCACTTTTGGTAGACTCCATTGACCACCCGAAACCCAAAGGCAGCACTGAAGGAACAGTATTGGGCCCGTTTCATACTCACGAGGCCGAGCATGTCAAAGAGGGAAGCCTTATCTCCCAGGACTCAGAGGGCGAACCGCTTCTTGTTCTATGTACCCTCAAGGACGCCAATGGTTCACCAATTCCCAGAGCAAAGATTGACGTCTGGGAGACCGATTCCAAGGGGTTCTACGATGTCCAACACGCTGATCGAACGGGCCCTGATGGAAGAGCTGTGCTGACCAGTGACGACAATGGAGACTTTTGGTTCAAGGCTATTGTACCTGTGCCGTATCCCATTCCTCACGACGGACCCGTCGGAAAGCTACTGACAGTTCTGGGCCGGCATTGCTATCGACCCAGTCACATGCACTTCATGTTCAAGAAAGACGGATACGATCCTCTGATCACGTAAGTCTGCCCTTCTCCGACACCTCGATCGTATCTAACAAAGTGCCTTGTAGCGCACTCTACCTGAAGGACGATCCTTACGAAACTACTGATGCCGTGTTTGGTGTCAAGGACTCGTTGATCGTTAATATTAAGAAGGTTGACGATGAAGAAATGGCGAACAAGTATGGTGTCAAAATTGGTTCCGCCCTGATGACGTACGACTTTGTTCTTGTCTCGGATGAAGCGGCTGCGAAACTCAGGAGAGAGAAGGCCGAGGAGGCAATGGCAAAATTGGGACGGAAGTTCAGATTTATTGATGATCTGCCTGTTCCGGATGTCGATTAGAAAATTGTGTAGGCATAGTGGATAGCTTACCTGATGGAGGTTGTGAGATAAGTAGCCAGAAGAATGATAATAGAATTACAATATGGACAGTTCATTTTATTACAAACAAATATACCCTCTCGCATTTGATGCCTGCTCCATCTTTCTCCGACTCAGGGCATCATTGACATAGTATCAATATCCAATGCTTCACCATACAACCCATCCAAAGACGGCATCTCAAACCCCAATCCGAGCGCATCCTGATCCGCCGCCATGAAATCTTGCAGCAAGTTGGGATCAATAATCGAAGCTAACAGCGCATGATCCTGTCCCGAGACAGCACTCGAAAACTGGTCTGCAATACTGTTCAAGTCACCTTGTGTACCATCAAAGAATGGTTGTTCAGTATCACCATGCGGCCTGCTCTGTTGCCGCTGGACGCACGCCCGCGCTACCTCTAGTCCCTCCTGTATCAGACTCGCACTTCTTCGAGCAACAGTAGCCTCCTCCATCGATTGCAAAATATCATGCGCTTTTACAGCGTCGGCGAGGAGGTCCTCTGATGGAACAGCTGTAGGACCAAGCATGATGATATACAGCACGATCATCCCGGCGTACAGGGTGTAAGTGGAGTTGTACCACCAAGTGCGGAAGTAGTGTCTGTTTGCGTATGCATCATACATGACGCAAATCGTCTTCCGTGCTGCATCCAGACATAACTCAGCATGGGTAGACATGTTGGCCTCTGCTGTGAGCATAGGTTGCTCGAGAAAAGGACGATGGAGAACGATTCTTGCGTTGAGATATCTGAGATGAAGGACAAGCTTCTGTTTAGCTGCCCATTCTTGTTCACGGAATGATACGGCCGTGAAGTCCAGATAAGCAGGTAGTTTGTCTTTCCAGTCGTCAAGCAGGCGATCGAGCTCCTTCGCAACAGCGGACTTCTGCATCAAAGTCAGACCCTTCGAGTCATAGTATAGTTCCTTTGAGATTCGCCGTAGGACAGCAGCGAAATGAACCATCTCGTTGATCATAGCCGCGCTGCAATTTTCAAGATCAGGCTGGTTCGATACGGCAACATTTTGTCCTCTGATATGAGGCATATCAATCTGGTAATTCCTGGGCTTGCCAAGACTGTCGCGACGACCTGCACTGCAGCTCATGTCAATCTCGTGAGAGTATATGCACCACCAAGTTCTCCGTGCTGCTTTGCGGTCCTCAATCGAGTTAGATGGAGTCTCTCTCGCGATACCGATGGCCAGTGCTGTGCGGACGGCGTGGCCGCAGTACATGTAGCACGCGTGAGGTTTGAGGGAGTTTTGACAGTACAAAGACTTTACGGGTCAGTTTTCCGGATTCACTGAGACTGGGGCTCACATACCATGAGAAGAAGTGTTTGTGCGCTCTCTAGAGAGCAAACTTCAAAGACATCTCCGAGCAACATCCTGGACTTCCGGAAGTACTTCTTCGACAGTTCTTGACTTAGCTGAGAAGGATTAAAGTCTTGTCCTTGAGCCGGAAGCTTCATGCAGATATTGATGTCGCGCTCAAAGTCCTGAGTGATACAAGAGCCAGCGACGATCGCGCCTACAGCCACGACTATATGGTATAGGGCGAAGAAATGACGCCGAGTCTTGTGACTTTCCATGGAGGTTGGAGAGCTCCAGACGAGTTCCTCGCATTGCTTGACGAAAGCAACAGGATCAAGCATAGGGTGAAGATGGTGAAGGTTGTTGAAGAACTGTCTGATGTATTCGCGTTCTAGCCTTTGCCTCGATGATGATAGCAAGTTGTCCGCGGATACTCTGCTTTGGCTGGTAGCTGCGGGAGGGTTGAGATGGCCCGAGTCCCCAAGTCCCGCTGTATCCTGTCTTGTCTCAAGAGATGAACGCACTTGGACCTCATCTTGGGCACCCGGTCGCGTTGGGGGCGTCTTTGGTCTTGAAGGGGGTTCCAAGACTCCCCTGTCAGAGAGGAGATTGACAATGGAGATTGGCGATTGTGTAACGAGGCCGTGCCCTATATCTTGAGCGTTGGCAGAAAGGAAGCCTGCACTGCCGCTTGAGTTTGGGTGACCGGGCGGTAGATTCTTCTGAGCATAGACGAAGAATTGATTGAGAAGCACAAAGTTGGACGATGTACCGTAGAACTCTGTGCCGTGAGTATGCTGATTGATGTCACCTACAACATCACCATCGTCTACACGAGCCAATCGTCAGTCCCAATCACAAGGCAAGGAGAAGTATTACTATACCTATACGACCCGTTGAATGAGCCTGTTCCAGTGGTTCGCTCCGTCGCGCCGCCTCATCATAATAACTTCGCGAAGAAGATAACGGCGACGGCGGCGTATTGCGCTGCACATCGTTTAGCACCGAAACAGTACTCGCCCTCGCATTCTTCCTCCTCAATCCATAGACGCAATCCCACTCATGTCTCACACAATTCGCACAAGGCTGCTGCTGATCGCATTTCGCCTTCTTCGCGCGACATCTCTGGCACGCATGCGACGCCCGCGGTAGATTTCGTCGACTTGGTAACGACCCGGAACTTGTCATTGTTTGTGAGGGAGAAATTTTCCGGACCTCCGCCCCAAATAAGAACGAGTTGGGAGGAAAAGTATCCCCGCCCCGGCAGTTGCGCTAAAAACTGCCGAGAATTCAAAGTTCCGGGCGAGGGCGGAAAATCGGAGATACTGCCGGAATTGGTGCGTGCCGAGAAAAGCGGTGCATCGTGACCTGTGAGTTGATAAACATGACTTGAAAGACGTTGAACGACTGAAGAGTTTCGTTTTCATTGCTCATTGAACTTACAGTTTGGATCTTCGTGATGCCTGTCTTTCAAGAAACCTCCCACGCGGCGCGAGACCAGAGAATCCTCCCTTCGCGGGCTCTACCTGTACCTCGACTTTCTCAACAGCCAGATTTGTCTAATGTATCTGAAGAACACAAAGAAGTCGTCGTCATTGGTGTAAGTCACAGCTGCCATTGATAGGATCATTTGTACTCACAAGAAAATTATAGGCTGGGCCAGCAGGTCTGTTTCTCACCTTGCTGCTCGCAAGATATGGTATCACAGAGGCCTCGCTTCTCTGTCTGGACTCCAAGCCGGGTACACTGAAAGCCGGCCAGGCAGATGGACTACAACCAAGAACTCTTGAAGTATTCCAGAGTTTGGGAATAGCAAGTGAGATCATCAGCGAGGGCTGTCACATGGAGGAGGTGGCGTTCTGGAACCCTGCGCAATCACACGCAAACACCAACGGTAACGGCAACGGCAATGGGTCTCATGCCGCCGGAATTGAGCGGACCAGTTTCGCGCCTGATGTCAATGTCCCTGCCCGTTTCCCGTTCGAAGTCACCATCCATCAAGGCCGCATTGAGCGAATCCTAGAAGAGAACCTTCATCTCTACGCAGGCAAGGGTGCCATCCGGAGATCCCATCGTTTCCTGGAGTACACAGTCGACGACACTAATGCCGAGTTTCCTATCGTGGTCAAATACGAACAAGATCTTCCAGACGGATCAACTCAGCAAGGCACAGTTCGGACAAAGTATCTCATCGGCGCAGATGGTGCACGTTCCAAGGTTCGAAAATGCATGGGTCTAGAACTCGAAGGCGAAACAACAGATCACATCTGGGGTGTATGCGATTTCGTCGCCGACACAAACTTCCCCGACATTCGCAAGCGATCTGCAGTTCACTCGGATGCTGGTTCCGTCATGGTCATTCCCAGAGAACAGATTGCAACGGGCGAGTTTCTCACCCGTCTTTACGTTCAAGTCGCTGAAGAGGTCGACACGAGCGGTGATACTGGAACGGACAAGAAATCTGCCGATAAGAAGCGACGTGGTGCCGTTACGTTGAAGTATATCTTTGAGCAAGCGCGACAGGTGTTTGCGCCGTACAAGATCAAGATCAAGGAGGGGACTGAGCCAGATTGGTGGGCAGCTTATCAGATCGGACAGCGCATGGCTCCCAGGTTCTCTACAAAGACGTCTGATGGAGTGGAAAGGGTGTTTATTGTTGGTGATGGTAAGCCTGATTCAGAGTCTTTACGATGGTATAGTGCTAACTTTATGCAGCATGCCATACTCACAGCCCAAAGGCCGGACAGGGCATGAACGTGTCAATGATGGACTCTTACAACCTGGCTTGGAAACTCGTCCACAGGATCCACGGCCTCACTCCATCAAGCACTTCCGGAACAGACCCTATCCTCGAAACATTTTCGCAAGAGCGTGTAGATGTGGCTCGCCAACTTATCGAATTCGACGCCCAGTTCTCGCACATGTTCTCCGGCCGCATCGGATCAGCAGATGCTGAAACTTCAGGCCTTACCCATGAAGAGTTCCTCCGGGTCTTCAGTGACGGCAGCGGGTTTACTAGTGGTTGCGGACTCCAGTACAAGGAGAGCCAACTGATAAGAGAACTGGGTGCAAAAAGTAACTTATTGCGAGGAGATCCGCTCTTGGGGGCGTTGACGCCGGGACGTCGACTGCTTGATGTTGAGGTGAAGCGCTATGCTGATGCCACTGCTCGTCATTTACAAGACGGTATGTTCTCACGAGACCTGGGGTGCAAAGATGTACGACTGACATACTGACTTATTTCATAGAAATGCCACCAACTGGCCGCTATTACGTCCTCGTCTTCACAAGCAACGACTTACTCGACAAATCCAGCATTTCGCAGTCAAGCTTACAGTCATCCGTTGAGATTCTACAAAAGTTCCCGAAAGGCACTGTAAATCTTATCGTGGTGCATCCGCTCACGTCAAGATTCGAGTGGACTGATCTGCCAGCGGGAGTAAAGACACTTGCAGAGATGCGAACTTATGGAGTGTCAAAGAAGGAGGACGTTTACGAAGTATTGGGTGTGTCAAAGGATGATGGTGTTGTTGCAGTGGTGAGACCGGATGGATATGTTGGTATGATGGCGCCTCTATCTAAGACTGGAGAGGTAGAGGATTATCTGCGAGGATGCTTAGTTACTATTTGAGCTATATACTACTTTATAGGAATATCAAGCAAGAATTCCAAATGAAATCTGCGCAGCTGATCATTTCGGAAAAGAGGGACAGCATCATTGGCCGGTTTGCTGACCATGGACTGAGTATTGAAGGACGAAGGATCCGTCAGCTTATGCTCGGAGACATTCCAAGCTGTACAAAGAAAAGAACTATCCGGAAAGGAATAAGTATCCGCGTGCATAAATCTATGTTCCCTGGACACCTCCCCAATTCGTCTTGTATCCTTAGTCACAAACATTTGCCATATTGATCTCTATTCTGTTGCCTTGCCCACTGCGTCACTAACGTTAGTCGTTGCACCACAATGGCGTCTGCTCAAAGCATCATCAAGTGCGCCGTCCTTTCCACGAGCCGTATGATATCTTACAGTATCGCACAGAATTCACAAATTGGCCCGTGGATTGTCCTCTCAAACAGTTTCGGCGCTGATATCACCTTGTATCAGCCTGTTGCCCAGCGCCTCGCCTCATCAGGCTACCGCGTCTTAAGCTACGACCATCCTGGACACGGTCAAAGCACTCCTGTAAAAGACGTCGATAATGTCGAGATGGAAGAATTGATCGATGACGTCGACGAACTCCTTCGTGTTTTGCACATCGACAGCATCCGTGCCTGGGTCGGCGTTTCACTTGGTGCAGCCAGCGGCGTCTACCTAGCCTGCCGTCGCCCGAAGTTAATTCAAAACTTTGCATACTGCGCATGTCCTCCTGCGTCTTTCGGCGCTCTCGAAATAATGCCACTTGAATACTTCGACAAGATGCGTGCTCAGGCTGAGGCAGATGGGACTACTGCGAATGTCATTCGGCAAATGCACTATGGCTGGGCGAGCAAAGAATGGCTCGATGAACACCCAGACCAGGACGAACGACTTAAACTTGCCAGCTCAACATTGAGTCTGGATGGTTTGCGTGCGATGATGACGTTGCAGAAGAATAAGCGCTTTGACATGCGGCCGCTCGTACCTCAGCTTTTGGAAAGCGTTGAGAAGATAATGTTTGTCAAAGGAGACCATGATGCACACCTCAACCCTTTAGTGGACATGATGAGAGATTTGGTTGTCAAGACGGCGAAGGAGAAGGGTGTTGAGGGTGACTTCAAGCTTGTTACCGTGCCAGACTCGGGGCACGTTATGTACTTGGAGAACGAGAGCTATTTCGTTGATGCCATCCTAGATCTCATTTCTCAGTCAGCTCCGGTTTAGCCCGATTTTATATTCAGTACGATTTTATGGGGATGAATCTTTCGAGGTCCCCATTGCTGACGTTGACGGTATCTTGATGGCGCTAGTTTGCACCCTTCATGTCAAACTGTACCCTAAATGAAAGAATGCGCCCTGCACATGAACCCCTCGACTTTGGATGATGTGCATGACTTGGCACTGGTTTCCAGATAATATTATAAATACCTAATCCTAGAACTACGTGATACCCAGTTACTAGCAATATTCTCTAATGAACCTGCAGTCTTCCATAGCTCCATTGCCATCACCTGCCATCATGGGAAGCATCCATCAACCCCATTCAGAAACTTACCCAGACAAGAATGGCTACTACGGGCAATTCGGCGGTAATTTCTACCCACCCGAAGCTCATCAAGCACTCGAAGAATTAGCCACCAAGTACCAAGAACTCCGCCACTCACCCTCATTCAACCAAACCCTCAACAAAGTCCGCATCGGTCTTCAAGGCCGCCCTACGCCAATCCACCATCTTGAGAATATATCCCGAGAAGCTGGTGGTGCTCAAATCTTCGTCAAGCGTGAAGACCTGAACCATACAGGTGCGCACAAGATCAACCACTGTGTCGGTTTCGCACTTCTCGCTAAAGCAATGGGAAAGACTAAACTCATCGCTGAGACGGGGGCAGGTCAACACGGTGTTGCGCTCGCAACTGCAGCGGCCTATTTCGGTCTCGAGTGTGAGATTCATATGGGCGGTGTTGATACTGAGAAGCAAAAGTCAAATGTTGGTCGGATGCAGATTCTCGGCGCAAAAGTTGTTGCTGCTACAGCGGGACAGTCTGCGTTGAAAGAGGCCAGTGACTCGGCTTTCAATGCATATGTTGAACAACGAGAGCATGCGCTGTATGCGATTGGGTCGGCGATTGGACCTCATCCATTTCCATTGATTGTGAGAGACTTTCAGTCTGTGATTGGCAAGGAAGCGCGAGAGCAGTTCCTCACCATGACTGATGGCAATCTGCCTGAGCATGTTGTTGCATGTGTCGCTGGTGGATCCAATGCGATGGGGATGTACTCTGCTTCCATTGACGATACAGCAGTGAAGTTGCATGCGGTAGAACCGCTGGGACGATCCGAAAAACTTGGTCAACATGCTGCAACACTATCATACGGCAAACCAGGTACATTGCATGGCGCAAAGACGCTGGTTCTCCAACAAGAGGCAGGCAAGCCTGCTCCGGTCTCATCTGTAGCCTCAGGGTTGGTCTATCCTGGCATTGGACCCGAGATGGCCATGCTGCACGATGCAGGGCGCATATCAGTCTCAACTGTCGGCAACGACGAGGTCATCAGCACATTCTTCCGTATGGCAAAGAGTGAAGGCATCATCATTGCTCTAGAGAGCGCGCATGCAATCGCATTCGCCATACGACTAGCAGCGAAGCGACCTTCATCAGAGCGGATCCTGGTCAATCTATCGGGGCGGGGAGATAAGGATGTAGATTATGTTCTCGAGCATCATGGAACTGGTTAAAACAGAAACAAGCGATGTACTGAGTCGGATACAGTACTAGACACTGTTGCTGAGCTGACGAAGCATCAGCACTAGCTTGGGTGAGATGGCCGATGGCGCCAGGTTAAGGTCGTCAACCTTAACACCAATTTCCTGGTGGAGCAATCCTCCTGGGTTCGAGTCCCAGTCTCATCAGACATTTAATTTTTGCTTTCTGAACAGCGACACTTGACTCAATTACCTCATGGCAGTCTTTTTGTATAGCTTGGATAATGCCGTAAGCTCTTTGATCTAAGGAGCTGATCCCACTTTCTCCACCAACAGATATCGGAAGTAATAAAAAGTGCACTGAGAAGCGCCACTGAAGTCTTGCCTGACACGACCACCCCGGAGCTCAGCAGAACTACTGAGCGTCAAAGCCATATAGCTCCAACCATTAATCGCCATTGAGGAACTTCGCCGTTCAATCTCAACGTGCCTCTTCTAACGGTCCCATATAACCCCAACCCCAACTAGCCTCTCTCGTAGCCACATACGGGAATAAGAAGTAGTAAAAAGCACTCAGGGAATATCGTCGTATCACTGAGGAGATGCCGAGCGACGTCGCTTAGCCTTCTCCTTCCTCCGATCATCCGGAGACTTGTAGTCTTCATCAATGCCATAATAGGTGAAGAATTGCGGCGCATCCATTGGTGGCTGTATGCCCTGGTGTGAGAAAACGATATCGCGAGGCATCCTAAGGACCAAGAAATGTTCATGCAAGAACTGAACTTCCACCGTTCGGCGTCCGCGATTGACTTTGAGCTGATGAAATTTTGTGCTGGGGTACTTTGGGCGGACGAATGGGTCAATGTTGCAAGCGTCTCCGAATATCAGGTAAACATGGCCTTCCATCGGATCTCTTCGGCCTGAATCATCTGGCGATAGGGATGAATCTTCAGGAGCGTAGAACTCGACATAGGTTGTTGGACAGGTTGCATAACAGCAGTACTGCACATGGTCCGTGGAGAAAAGTCTAAAGAGCCTATCTTCCAGACTTTTGAGGGGACCGGATTTCTTTTTGGACGACTTCTCTGTTTTGCCGAGGGCGTCTTTAACCTTCTGTATCTCACGTTCCTCATTCTTGATATCGTCCTGGAAAGCTTCCTCTACCATACTTTCGTTCTGGCGTTCACCCATCCCTTGTCTCTTCCAGACTTTTAATTGGGTCTTGCGCTCCTCTCGCTGTTCCTTTAGCGCATAATACGCAGCCTTGGTGGGTGACGTCTCTCCAGAGACATCGCTCAGTACGGACGATTCCTCGCTTAGCTCGTCGATGTCATGTTCAAGGCACATGTCGTCTTCGTCGTACTTGCAGCCTTTCTCGGAGGAGCATGATTCTTCACTGTCATTTGAGCAGTCAGAGAGATCCTCGTCGAAGTCTTTGGGTTCGACAGCCAAGTCGGAATCATAGTATCTGTTTGTCTGACCGCGTGCCTTTCGATCTTCGTATAGATCTCGCAGGCGCCAGAACCAGGAAGGGTAGTCTCTTGAAGACATGGTCTTGTTGAAGATAAGAACGGATTTGAGTGTTGCTCTGTAGACTGTGAACCCAGGTAAGGATTGTTATAAGGGTTGTTCAGGTAAGAGAGGGGCTTTAGTTTTGTGAGCCACTATAAGCCTTCTTATATACGCCTGAGAGATAGGGGGTGGCGTAATGTTTGATTGGGATCTGCGGCTACACTAGGCTACTAGCAAATTGATAAACGCTAAAAAAGCAATATATAAAACACGTTATTACTATTGCCTACTGAAAAAGAGAGTGAATATGGTAAAGCTGGACTAAGCCCCTTAACTTAGCCTGGACTTTATCCTTACTAGCGTAAAATATATTAAACTTAATAGATTAATAATGTATTTGTAATATTTTAGTTTAATTAATTAATTAAATCTTTATCGATATAATCTAAATTTAAATAATTCTTAACCTACCTTTTTAGTATTAACAGAGATACAGTGTGTATTAATCAGAACGTACATTCTAACTATACTATAACCACAAAAAGAACGACCGATCTTTTATAATGTCAAGAAGTAAAGCTATAGGCAAAGTTTTTTGAGTACTGCACAAGTCCATCGAGGCTGATGAGATATAGATGGGCTTATAAAAAGAAGTTCCGACACATGTGAGGCGCGTGATGTGAGCATCAACAGTGGGGCCTATCAACTCAAGAGTTCCGACACTGTAGGCGTCTATAGCAATACACTCTCAGTTCACTGCATTGTGATCTTTAACCCCTATTCTAGGTATAGACACAAAAAAGCAATCAGTGACTACAGGCTGTCGTGATCAGCTGTGCGACAGACTAGTGGCGTAAATTCTGTCCTCAGAGTGTCAAGGATAGAGCTTTTGTATCGATCAATCACAATTGAGGAGCATTTACTGGTAGTTACTAAATTTGCGTCTTGTACTTATTGTATAGGCTCTGAGTCTTTAAATGTCATGCAAACAAATTTCATCCAAAAAACAAATAAAATCATCCGAACTGCAGCAACCGTCCATTGTGAGAAGAAACAGTTAACGGGACCATGATCACGCGGGAGATGCTGAACGACGTCGCTCTGCCTGGTCCTCTCGCCGATGATTTGCGAGCATGCGGCTCTCCGCGTAGGCTTCGCAGATACCGTAGTAGGTAAAGACATCCGGCGCCCCCGAAGTCGGATCTGTTTCCTGCCTGTAAAAGACTAACTCCTTAGGTATCTGGAGTATCAAGTGGTGATTGTCCAAAAACTGGGCATAGAAAGTATGAAGGCCATCATTCCCACCAATGCGAACGGTCTCCAAGCCTGCATCCTGAGGGGGAACGAATGGGTCAATATCACACATATCGGTAGACATTGCGTAGATGTGACCATCAACTTGACCTTCTGGGCAGTTGCTGAATCGATAAAATTTAGGATCGTAAAACTCGATATATCTTGTCGGGGCAACCTCAGCAGTGCAGTACTTTATATGGTCAGTGGACCAAAGCTTAAAGCATCTGCCCTCTGAAATGTTGAGGGGGCCCGAATTCGTTTGTGATGACTGTTGTACTTTGGTGAGAACATCTCTGATCGGCCGAATCTCCTGCTCCTCAAACTCCAAATTCTGCTGAAACGCTTCCCTCTGAGATCTTGATGGTTTTCTTCTTTTATTTCGCCGCCCCTTCTCTGTGTAGGGTCTCGAAGACATTCTTTTGCACGCAAGAAGATTAAGAGTGCCGAAGAGAGGTGAATTTTTGAGGATTGAGGGTCAAAGATAAACACCAGGTCAAGTACAAAGTGATGAACACGTCTTAAATGCTTTGCTACGCGCTTCAAGTGAGGGGGTGGCGTATTTTCGACTTTGTTATCCAATCAACACGCTCTGTAGAGTGAAAACACATGAAACGCGCGTTATCACGCATCCCTGCCCATCCCTTGCATGGTCCTAAGGGCACATCTTATGGACGGAATCAAGTGATATTCCTGTACCGTTCTATCTAATGAGAGAGGTAGGAAGAGGAGAAGGCTGGGGTGATCATCAAGATGTATCCTTAGGACCGTTACTGTAAAGGATAGAGAGCAATAAATTAAAATGACAAGCTCGAGAATCAGATGATCGACAGACGTGCGTGGCAAGTGTGGTATTGCAATATATGTCGTACAGAAACTGTTCTAAACACTTGTTAAGCGTGAAAAGGATCTCATCTCCAAGCATTGTTTCCTTTTATGTCTGTTTGGCGAGGCTAGAAATTGGGTAGCTGTTTGACTATCGACGATAAATAATGACGGATGGGCTGATCAGATCCAGATACGCGATGCATATTGAACTGGAGTGAAATACGAGAGCATTTACAGGTCAACCCATTCACAGGGAGAATCTGATGTAATTTTTCCTCTATAACGATCCCAAACGAAGAGTATGTACTAGGTAATGTCTGCACTCAACACCAACAGATTGGCGAACCTACCCTGCGATACTACTCAAAATAGGAATAGCTTGTCCACTTTAATCAACAAGAGTACGAATACACGTGATTTAGCTCTTGTGGAGTCTTTAATCTATGGAAAAGAAATTTGAACAGCGCTGCAAGAGTTATATAGACCTCGGCAGATTTACCACCAAAATGACAATTGCAGAGGACCAACAACTCGCATTTTCCGAATACTGGGATGGTCGCTATGCGACCTCAAATAATAATGATTCAACCCACGAATGGTACCGGTCATTTTCGCAGGTCCTTCAATTTCTACAGAAGAACCTCTTCGAGCAAGCAGGACGGACTGCTCATGATAACCCAACGATCCTTCACCTTGGCTCGGGTGACAGTGTCAGTTGACTGATGGCCGAAATTTCGGCACAGTATACTAACTTCAGCTCAGGTTGTACCTGCTGAGCTTGCCGAACGTGGTTACCTGAGGCAATTATGTGTCGACTTCTCCCCTGTAGTGGTTGATATGATGACAGAGAGACACAAGGAAATTGCAGGAATCGAATGGAGTAGAGTTGATGTCCGAGATATGCCGTCGATTGCGTCTGGCTCGATAGATGTCGCTTTCGATAAGGGAACGTTGGACGCCATGATTCACGGCAGTCCGTGGAATCCCCCGGATGAAGTGAGGGAAAATACTAGCAGATATTTGAAAGAGGTATGTGGATGACTATCCCCCCCAGGGAATGATTGTCTCTAACAAGCTGTAGGTCCATCGTGTGCTAAAGGCAGATGGAGTGTTCCTAAACGTTACTTTCAGGCAACCCCATTTTATGAAGTTGTTAATGAACCAAGATAACATTTTTGACATAGAAGTAGAGGTCCTAGAAGACGGTGTAGGCTTTGACTATTATGGTTATGTGGTAAAGAAATCTCAATAGACTTTAGAGCTCCCATAAAGTATGGCATTCATATAAATCTGTTGGAGGCAAAATTTGTTTGTAATAGGCATTTGAAGGATAATGTTATCATAAACTCCGTAATCACCAGGAAACACCACTCCGAATGAATGAAACTAAAAATCCGTGTTCGTTTCCTAATGTAAAAAAAGACCGTCTTTCATCCATAGATGCACCAACTTCTGTCTGCTGATTTAAGCTCTCAGCCACGAGCCTCACCTGCACAAAGATGCACAATTAGTAAGAACCAAGACCGCACGAAAGACCATCGCATATATATCTCCTCTTGGTATCCACTGGCGCGCTGCTGGTTGGCAGTACCCAGTTCTGATACGCGATACGCTTGACTTAAAGCTTGGCCACTCATTCTATAACGCTTTCTTCGTCAGTCTCCCACTGTTCCTCTTCCTGCTTTGCCTTATCAACCATGTGTCTCTCACTGATTCCGTAGTATGTAAAAAAACACAGGTGCAATCCAAGGGACCTCCTCCTCGCGTTTTTGAAATACCGTCTCGCGGCTGATCTTGAGTGTCAAGTAATTGTCGTCCAAGAACTGGATGTATACCGGCTCTTTGCTTGTTCCCAAGTTGTGAGTTTTGGTGCTACAATACTCTGGTGGCGTGAAATTGTCTAAGAGTTTGACAGTATCTGAGAGCAGACATATGTGCCCGGAGGGCTTTTCAGCTCTCATCGTCCGAATCTGTTCCTCATTGAATTGACCATAGTCAAATGAGCTACTGAACTCGATATACATCGAAGGATCGACCTCGTGGGGGCAGTGCTTGAGGTGATCGACTGACCAGAGCTTGAAAATTCTCATGAGGCCAAGGTTGAGAGGAGCAGGCGTCTCCTCAAGAGATTGCGCCCGGTCGAGAGTGTCTCGGATTTCGTCGACATAACGCTTCTCGAGTCCGATATCGTCTTCCTCAGCACCCTCTTCGTACGTGTCCCAAGGTCTTATTTCTTTTCTGCACTCTCTCCAAAAATCCCCAGCTTTGGCCGCATCCTCATAGACTTTAATTTTTTGAGCTTCCTTCCTCTTCTCTTCGTTCATTTGCTCTGTGTATTTCTCCCTCTTCTTTCGCATCTCTTCATCCCATTTTTTCTGTGCTCGCAATTCTCTCTTGCGGTCACGACGATCCATCTTCATCTCGAGGTACTTGAGGTCATACGGATCGTTCCTGTCGAGCTCATTGTCTGAATCTCGGCCTTCCTCGTCTAACTTTCTGTGATATTCGCAAATATCTTCGGTGCCATAATCACAGCCATTTCTAGAAGCACAGAAAAAAGTAGAAACTTCAGAAAGATCCTCATCATAGTCTTCAGGGCATGCGTCGGCATAGTCCTCCCACAGATCTGTTTCTCCACGGAGAAAGCGGTCTCCGATAATACCAGCTCGGTCTAGATTTTGTGGCCGAAAACATGATATGATAGATTTATGAAGGGGTTGTGAAAGACGGAAAATTCACGAGATTGTGATAATGTTTAATCGAAGACATGAAATGACAAGCGACGTGACTGTACGTCATTTACTCAGACCTAGAAAGCCATCTTAGAGCGGATGAATGATAGCCCTTGAGCCACGGCATCATAGAATCTGTCGATCTACGGAAGGCGTCTGTGGTAGATCCAATCAAACACACGACGTTCCACAATAAGTCCCGGGCGAATGGTTTAGTGGTATAATACTCCCTTAGCATGTTCCGTCCAAGTTACAGATCGTCATCTGGGAGTGGTCCAGGGTTCGATTCCCTGTTCGTCCAATAACGGTGGTTAAATTCCACTAACATCCTCATTTTTGCTTCATAATAAGCCGCTGACGTTTACGTCTCAGTACACGACTTGGTCATGCCAGCATTACGTCTGCTTCTGAGATGAGTGTATAACCGTTCTTGTAATCTCAACAACTGTCGACCTTTTCTTTTTGCCCAGTATTTGTGGTTAATGGTAGCTTTGAGTCATGGAAGTGAAGGCACAGTGGTGAATAGGACGCGAATGCGCAAGTAGGTTCATTTATATTTGGATGAAGAAGCCGCAGCTTGATCATGCAACACAACTCAATAAGCGATGTAATGATATCAAGTAACCCGCATCATGACGTCTACTCCTTCGATCTAGGATCACCCGTCGCCCGCTTCTTGTCACCACCGTCAAACCACCCGACGTCTGTTTGAAGGAAGAAGCTTTCAGCGTCAGCGTCAGCTGGAGCACGCTTTTTGGTCGAGGGCTTCTCAGAAATGGCGCGTTTCTTATCGCCACCGTCGAACCAACCGACATCGGTTTGAAGGAAGAAGCTCTCGGCCTCGGCTTTCTTGGAAAGTTGGCTGTTGGCAGGCGTAGGTGCTGCCAAAGCAAGTAGGGGAGCGCTAAGCGCCAGAATATGAGAGACCTTCATGTCGTCAAGGTTTCTGAGTCTTGTTTTCAAGATAAGTGATGAGTGTATTGATGAACGATGTCGCTGTTGTTTCCCCTTATAATCACGATGAGCATATATCAATATTTATTCTAAGCATCTCGGTGCAATGCTGTGCCGAAATTGACGGTATAGTCCATCAATGCTTCCTTTGAACGCATTGTGATCTCGTCATCTGCGGGGGAATGTCACGTTGTGCTCACAAGTCGCCATGCATTTCGAGGATCGAGGTAACAGCACGGATGATGGAAGCCGAAGAGCGTCCCCTGGCACCTGTAATGAGTGTGCATGGCGAGTTTTGTAGACAAGGTCAAGCTCCATTATGTGACGACTCATTGGATTGGGGCTTAGCATACTCCTACGAAGGATTTCATACGCCTGAAAGTCTGTAGTCTGTATTGTGACTGGTGGATAAAAGCTCAATCTGACATGCGTCTTGGCACAGCCTAAATCCTACAAGAGGGGATAATTCCATGGCCGGCAACTATCTACAGAAACACAACAATCTCATCGGCACAGTGCGTCGCGAACGTAAGTGAGTGCTCGGTATAGTGATGACCGAATGGCAGGATAAGATGAGTTGCATGTCAGCGCTAGACCAACACGGAATCACGCCTTTGTTTGCCATATATCGAATGGCATTCGTCTTTGTGTTCCGCAATGTCAACTTTAGACTCGCTAATCCTCTGACAAAAATGTCGCGATCTTCCCTCGACGACCGAGAGAGTCATGAATCTCATGATCGGCTGTTGAAGAATGGCGATGACCATCTCAATGACTCACGAGATTGGAAAACACACCCTGAGCAATCCTTGAAGCAGAGGATTTTCAACTACGTATCCGTCATTGCATTTACATCCCTCTTGCTCAACATCCTTCTGATTTTGTCAATTCTTTGCCTGTGGTTGAGAACAAGATCACCCTTACCTCCCTGGCCTGATACTCTATATTATACGATAACGTGGCAGAATACTCCTTGAAAACTCTACTAACTTCGGAAGCTCCGGCCCAGAGTGCAGTCGAGTACGAGATAATCACTTTCAATTCAGATTTCCCTGAAGATCAGCAAGTGTTCGTACTTCACCTTGTGCCGAATCGGACCTAACCAAATTTGTAGCTCGGGAACCACAAACTTCTATGGCGCGTCTCCAAAAGCAGAAGATGAAAGGAGAAATTTATTGAAGCCATATCTGGTTAAGATATCCGGCCAAGAGGCATCAAAATTGTCCCGTCCTACGTCGCAGATCTCCAGAGATCCAGACTATTACATTACCAGTCTTGATGTATATCACCAACTACACTGTCTCAACGATATCCGGAAGATGGTAAGGGACTTCAACTCAACAGAAGGAGGCCTGGGGAGATTGCAGACTATGCACAAGTTTCACTGCATTGACTCTATTAGGCAGAGTCTTATGTGCAATGCTGACTTGAGTCTGATACATTGGTATTGGGCACCCCAAGTTGGAAAAGATTTTCCAAATGCAACTACGACGCATATTTGCCGGAAGTGGTCATTGATAGAACAGTGGGCGATGGATCACAGGCTTGATCAGGATAATTATGATCCAAGGACGCACATTGAGTAATAGATAGAATTGCAACCCGGTTTGCTACTTCAGTTCTTCATAGAGCAAGCAACCAATCTCGACCTGGGGCTCACAGATGTTCCACAGTTAAAACCACTTATCCAGCGCTTATCACCCTCTGCAGAATCAGGACATGAGTGCTACTGGGCAAGAACCAGCTCGGCATCTTTAGGAAGCCTCGATCGAAAGTACCCTACAGCGACATGGGCCCAAACTCGAGCGGCTCTGGCATAACAAATAATCCGGGTCGCGTGTGGCCCAATGGCAAGGCGTCTGAGGCGTCTGACTACGAATCAGAAGATTCTGGGTTCGATCCCCAGCGTGATCAATTATTTTTGCTTCTTCTGTGAATACGATGGGCTCTTCTTTTTGCATCCGTGTTAATGAGACATACTAAGTGTTCGGCTCTATTCACTTCTTACATAGCTACTAGCTACCTGAGTTTTGCCCTCGACTCATGACTTTTTGACATGCTCAAGCTCGGAAATCATCCACATCTTTCAATGTTGGTTCCAGAACCCAGAAATTGTGTTTCTCAACGCTAGGTACAGCTTGATAAACACCTTTTGCGATTGGTTCCCAAATTCGTGTAGTTGCAACTCTGGGATATCTGAATTCGTTGGGAATATTTCCATCATGATAAAGACCTCGGAATTGGACAACTACTTTCTATGGCATGTCGGAATCAGTCCCGGGCAGCAAGCCTCCGAACCTTTATAAAAAAAAACGCGGGGTAGGCTTCTCCTCACCAATGACTCTCCCCCTGGATGAAGATAGCGACTACTACGCTAGCCAGCATCGCCACGCGCACTTTTTTCCCCAATGCAGCACGCTAGACGTCTGATGCCTGCCGCGTCTGCCGTTACCCCAGACCAGGGGCTCCGAAGCATGATAATCGAAACGAAGATAAAGTTCCGAGCACGCTCTTGTTATTCTCCCTCTCACAGACTTCGAATTGCAAATCAACATGTCTCTCGACATGGCATCTCCTGCAATTGACAACGAGAAGCATCTTGGTCCACAGAACCAGGATGAACAGAACTTGGAGCGACATGGCTACGTTCAGCAAACAAAGGTATGAGATACTGGTTCCGAGAATCTGGTTCCGAGACGCGTGGGCGTGCTGACTTGTCATGATAGCGCAACTTCTCTCTTACTGCCATGGTTGCAACATGTGTCAACTTGATGGCAACATGGGAAGCACTGTCTAGGTTCGATATCCGTCGTTGTTGCTGTTTGACTCAGACTGACCTTTCTCTGAAGTACACTCGCTGCTGGGCTCGTGAGCGGAGGGGCAGTATCCCTTGTTTACGGCGTCATCGTGGCATTTATTGGGTCACTCTGTTCTGCCAGTTCTTTGGCTGAACTGGCGTCAAGGTAGACTAGCTCATTCAAATTCTGAGTAATTTCTGACACGTCAATCTTAGCTATCCTACCGCCGGCGGACAATACCACTTCGTAGCCAAGCTGAGTCCGAAAACGAGCCGACCCTTGACCAGCTGGTTCGCTGGATATATCTCGTGAGTCACGATCGAACTCAGATGCGAGAGGAAAATACAGACTGACAGGTTGAAGAACCCTTGGCTGGATAGCTTCTGCTGGTAGTGCCCCCTTTCTTGCTGGAACGCAGATCCAAGGCCTCCTCGTCCTCAACTACCCTGATTCCTACGTTTTCCAAAGATGGCATGGCACGCTGCTCTTCTGGGCCGTCCTTCTCGGCTCTGCTTGCATTTGTATTTTCTGCAGTAACAAGTTGCCACTCATCGAGAAGCTGACACTAGTGCTACACGTCACCTTCTTCATCGCAATCATAGTCACAATGGCCGTGACTTCACCTACGAAACACTCGGCCGAATGGGTCTTTTCCCACTTCGAAAACAATTCTGGATGGGGTAACGACGCTGTGGCTTGGAGTATAGGACTTCTTAGCTCTTGCTATGTTCTTATCGGCTATGATGGTGCCACCCATCTTAGCGAGGAGATGAACAATGCGGAGATGGGCGTACCTAGGGCTATGGTTGGCTGTCTCTTGGTTAACGGGCCTTTGGGCTTTGCCTTTCTCCTCATAATTCTCTTCTTCATGGGAGATATTTCGGCAGCATTGGCTACACCTACAGGGTTCCCTATCATCGAGATCTTCCTTCATATGACCGGCAGTGTTGCGGCTGCTACCACCATGACTGCTATGATTACCGTTATGGCTTGCTTGTCGACAGTTCCTCTCCTTACAGCAGCTGCTCGCATCATGTGGGCGTTTGCTAGAGATCAAGGTGCGTCACTTTGACCGTTTTGAGTTACAGATCATTAACATGAGAATCACGCAGGTCTCCCGTTTGCTGAGCGTATTGCAAGCGTTGATAAACGTCGACAGATCCCCACTGTATCCATTATCGTTGTCAGCTTCCTGCTTATGCTGCTGAGTCTCATCAACATTGGCTCTACAACGGCCTTCAATGCTATCCTATCCCTTGCCGTCGTCAGTCTACAGGCCTCGTACCTCCTTCCAATCGTTCTCTTGATCTGGCGACGCTTATTCCGCCCGGATACTCTGCGCTGGGGTCCTTGGAGACTCGGTAAAGCAGGCCTACCCATCAACGTCATTGCGGTGGTTTATCTCATCTACACCTGCATCTTTCTTCTGTTCCCCCCTTATCAGCCAATCACTCCGGTGAACATGAATTATGCGCCTGTTGTATTGTGTGGTGCACTGGTATTTGGGTGCATTTATTGGCCTTTGAGGGTCAGCAAGCGGTATGTTGGTCCACTGACAGATGCTGAGGTTTTGGAGGGAACGCTACACTAGTTTGCTTTGATGAATGCGATACTGTCCTTTGATAGATACGGACCATATCAGCTCATCACTAGTTGTGTAATAACATATAAAGATTAATTACTATCTCAAATTACGGTCCCTCAATTCGTGATTCTGGCAGTAACTGTGGTTTATTGTTACGATAAGCCGTTCGGCTCTTATCGGGACTGCCCCTGCTGCTGTTTTACTGTTATTTCGCCAAACAATACGGTAATCTTGACGAGTTACGATTTGTTTAGGTGGCTGGTGTCTAGGGCATCTAGCCAATCCCAGCCAATCAATTGATAGCCACATGACTTTCATCAGCGGAACCCACTTCCGATTCCGACTCTTCGCCTATCTCATATCTTGGACAAACTTCTTATCTCGCTGACAAGCTACCAGGGTCTGTCAGTCACGCTTCTAAGTATGGGCTGTTCCCTGCGTGACTCTGGTTCATTAGGCGATGACCTTATTGCATCTTTAGGGTTGGCAGCTCTGCATGGATCAATCTACTGCTTCTTCGGCATCGACCCGAAGGCGACAGAAATTGAGAAGTGAGTATGAGCCTGAGACTGGACCACCTTTCCTCCCTTAACTCAGCTAATGTTGTTGGAATGCGAAGGCGGCTGCATCACTTGTAAGAAACGCGTGGGTCTGACATCATTACCTTGGATGACCCCATAAATTGCTTGCTAAGCGCTGCCGCAGAAGCTGAAATGCGATGAGGCAGAGCCTGCTTGTACTCGTTGCGTCAAGTCTAATCTATTATGCCCTGGCTACAAACGTCCGGTAAAATGGTCGACCAAATACGAGATTGACTATGGCATCCATTCGTATGCTGGGCCCAGCTCAGGGCACTCGCCTGGCAGTGGCGCATCGCCATCTTCTCAATCTGACACCGACAAGGCCCTTATGCTGTACTCACCACAGGAGGAGTCCTCCAAGCTTTTAACACACTACTTCACATCCGCATGCCAGGTTCTATCCTCATTTGACTCCCCGAACAACCCTTATCGTTCAGATCTGCTAGAATTTATACGGAACTCCCCAATCGTATTCAATAGTGCCTTGAGTGCATCGGCAGCCCATCTAAGCCAACAAGAACACCACACATCTTTGATACCATTGGCCTTCCAGACTGAAGCTATATCGCATATTTCAAGAGAGCTGGCTGCAATAAATGTTACCCAGAATGTGCTGGCTCCTCTTCGCTCCACGCCGCTAATGATCAAAGATGACCTAATGTTGGGTGTTGCTCTCATTGGCATGACCTCTGTAGGTGCCCTAGTCAGAAACGATCTTACGAGGCTTACATCTAGACTTACAGAGCTGGCATGATCCATCTTATCTGGGCCTGTGCCATTTTCATGGTGCTCGACAAGTATTCGGCATTTGGATGAACCAATTCGACCTCACGGACCTTCAGTTGCCGTCTCACCGCATCCAACGCTTGATAGCTTCATCAATGGTCTACTGGGAAGTTATGGCCTCCTGCTTGATTGATCAAGAGGTTGATGCACTTTCATACCTCGACGTGTTCTCCAATCTACCATCTACGACCTTTTGTTATCCATGTCCATGGACTGGAGTCGGCACAAACATTTTGATCCGTGTTGCCAAATGCATGACAATAGTACGGCAGAAGCGGCGTCTGAGCTCATACAACTATTCAAGGGTGGGTGATACAGGTTTATCAACCAGCATCCTCGATTTACTCACCCAAGCTTTTACTCTGAGCCTGGACATAGACCACTGCCAAATACCAACTCCTGAAGCGATACAGAGCACGGGTGACTACAGGACTCCGTCGGATCATCTGTGTAAGATAGCTAAGTGCTATCAACTGGTTGCTCGTCTTGAGCTTGACCGGGCGTTCCCTGAGCTCACGCAATGCCCACCCGATAATCAAAGCTAAGATACAATGCTTTCACAGCATATCTTAGAGCTTGCAGTGAAGATACTACAGATCATGACCACTATTCCAGAAGATTCTCGAACCATCGCCATTCAGACTATCATATTCCTAACAGCGGGGAGTGCACTTGGGTCTAGTTCAAATGCCGACACCAATATCAAAGTCTCAATCGCAGGCTGGAGGAGATTTGTGCTTGAGAGACTGCACAAGTCATTCTTATCTCTCAAACTCCAGACGATTAATAGGGCAGCTACTGTGCTTCAGAAGGTCTGGTCACGGATGGACTCAGTGGCCATGGGGGAGCCTGATTCCACATCCTGCGATAAGAATCCGGGTTTGCGCGTGCATTGGATTGATGTTATGACAGAAGCGGGGATGGAAACTATCCTAGGATGATACAAGAAAATTGACGGAGTCACTTTCCAAACCTATTGGCATGCCGACCATTCTCCTGTCCGATTCGCACTCATACTCATGCAGTGTCGCAAAAGTCCGAGAACGCAGTTATACACATAAACCCCGGACTGTCGGACAATGGATATGGATCATGACTGCGGGACTTTCGGTCTGATCAAAGTCCGAAGGCACCGACAGCGTATCATTGATTCATTTTCCATCATAGCTATCTCGGTTGCTGGCTTGATGACAAGGAGGTATGAGATCGAGGCCCTGGGAGCAGAGTTTCCAAGATGCTACTCCGCACGCCAAAGAAAGATACAGGTGGGGGACGTCGCACTTTTTTTCTGTAAGTGGAAAGGTCGTGGTTGATGACACCCTGCATCTCGACGATAATGCGGGGAAGCTCCGTTTTTGATAGGACTGTTGTATCAAAGACTCCACGGAATTTACGGAATTCAGCAGTTATGGAAGCCGAGATTTAGGTGTAGACGCAGGTGAATTCACTGAATTATCACTAAGTATGATGCTCAACATTTACTATAAAGATGGTGTCGTCTCTCCTCAAATGAATAGACTTCTTGTGACAAGTTTCTACCCTTGGCATCATCTCTTAACAAGACAATAAAGAGTTCTTGAGCCGGCACTTCATAATCTTCACGCTTCAAACCTCCTTTGCTAGTCAACATGGTTCCATCAGCTACTTCAGATAAATCAGACTATATCCCGGTAGCCAAATGGCCAACTCTCCAGGAAATGGCAGATGGCTTCAGAGAGCACCTCATGCCAGCATCCAACAAGCTGGAAGGCAAATACCTTGAACATACCTACGACAATGGTTGGAAGATCTCCCATGACTTTGGTGCGGATAGCGTCACATGGAAGATCCTCGAGGGAGAGGGAGCAGGTCAGACAGCACCAGCCAAGTACGAGGCTTTCGAAGTGCGACCAGATGTCTTCTTCGTCGACTTCTTCAAGCCTGACTATAACGAAGTCGTCACCCTGATCGTCGATACTGTCGGCGGACAAGCTATTGCAGGTGTCTCAGGCTTCAAGGACGAGAATGGCGAACGCAGAACATTTACTTCTTTCATCAACGCAGTCGCATTCGGAGGGAAGCCTGTTGAACCATTCCTAGCCACTGACGAACTCATTGGAAAACACGTTCTGTACCGGTACACCCCCAGAGATGCTTATGAGCATGTTTATCTCAACAAGGGTACTATGACCTGGCACTGTCTCAGCGGCACAGAGAGGGGCATCGCAGATGCTGAGAAGTGCCAAATGCTCAAGCTGGGAGACAACTTGTACATGCTGTTCTGGACCGAGACAGTTATGCCAGTTGAGTCAATCGTTGTCATCGACTTGGAGAACATGAGGTCTACAGGGCGTTTCTACTGCTGGGATCCTAAGCCAAAGGAGGCTGTGCACGTGCGATTTGGTTCTTATGCTACTGTTCTGGCAGAGACGTCGCCGCTGGAGACGCTCAGAAAGGTTTCACAAAATAAACTGTAGAATAGATGCACAAAGAAGCATATCTGTGTTTACTTGGCATAGATATGCTCACGGATGTATATAAATGCATTGCTTCCAGAAAAGAGTCATTGAGGAAGGGTTTGAATGAATCTATGGGGACAAGTGAGCGGCAAATCTTGTTTCCTCATTGCAGGATCGTGATGATGTTGCTTGCGAAGCAATGGGGTACAGAGAATAAAAAAACCTTTTAGAAGACTGTCAGAAAATATCTTCAATGATATAACAGACCGTGTTCTTGGAATGAAGGGTGATGATTTGCAAGCCATCTGTTCTAGGGTAGGATTATGACGAAATGGCTTGGTCGAGTTGGTCTGGGTCGTGGCCACTTTGACGAGGAGCATCCTTTGTAGGGTTAGCTAACGTACCTAGTAAAACTTAGCTCTCCTTTGGTCAAGATCAATTGAGGAATCAAAACTTTCTTGGCTAATTTCTAGAACCTCACTCCGCACGCGTGCCAAGCAGCCACGAATCCTTCGCGCCTGATAACCCACTCTAGCTTTGACAATGTTTCAAGCAGACAAGATGAATGACTTGGATTGGTCTCGTTCTCTTCGATTTTCGCATTGTTTCGACAAAACATGCTATTAAGATATATGCCTCAGGCCCTCAGGCCCCCACATCTCTATATATAGCCTGACCACAGGATCCTAGCTAGAAAATACACACATACCTCTTTAAGCCTAAACCCCCTTTAATAGATTATAAGCCCTTATGTAAACTACAGTATCTAAAGAAAAAGCTATTATTTAGCAATTCTCTTTTTTAAGTAGTTAAAAGTATATATATACCCAGAATAGAAAGGCATTATAGGATAAGCTTTTTTTACTAGTATAATTACCTAATTAAAGTTACCTAGTTAAGATTAATATATACTAGCCTAGTATCTTATATTATATTAAGAAATAATATTAAATTAGAACTTATAAAATATTATTAAAAGTATAATATAAAAAAGTATATTTTATCTCTTTTTATTTCTAATTACCTTTAATTAATATATATTTAAAAACAGCTTTTAGTTTTTAATTACTATATATATTGCCCTAAATAATAAGACTTATAAAGTAGATACCTTATTATTATATAGAAAAAGTAAAAACTTTTTAATTTAATTAGGATTTAAACCCTGATTTTTTATTTTAGTGTAAAAATGCCTAATTAT